ATGTCAGAGTGATCGTCTCACCTCTGAATATCTGAGGCCAGTTGGGTTGTTGTTTTACAACAACTTTATTGGAAACTGTTTACACATATTAACAGTTGAGATACAAATAGAAACATGAAATCAACACAGAAAACTTAACACTGTATGTTTGATAATCATGAGTGAATGTATATTTCAAACTGAATGACTGAACTCACAGGTCACACGCCCACTTTACTCCACAAAGACCTCGGGGCTTCAGTGTCAGACGTAACATCAATAATTTCAGGTGATACATCATGAAGCTCACTGAGAGAGGGTTTGCAGCACTGTCAATAAGCAAAGTCTTCTTTCAGGAATTTAAATATCAAACTTTTTTAGACTTATTTTTTCTTTGGTACATAATTGCATATATCTGGCTTCATATATTTGATGTCTTCAGTTTGAATCTACAATGTAGAAAGTAGTAAAAATAAAGAAAAACCATGAAATGAGAAGGTGTGTCCAAACTTTTGACTTGTACTTTATGTTATAAAGTTGTTGTTTTTTTATTCCAGATTTTTCACTGTGGTGATTGCTGTGTATTTTGATCACCACATTTAAAATGGTTTCTCACTGATTTTGTTACTAAACTAAAACAGAGAACAATATTACTGAATGAAATGTGTCCAACTTACATGATACAGTCAGTGTGATGATGTCACTGCACACTGAAAGACTCATGGTGCAGCAGCTGTATCCTCCACTGTCAGACTCAGTAGCTCTGCTGATTCTGTATTCAGATGTTGATGGTGTGATTAACTTGTGTTCTCTCCAAACAACCAGCGACTGACTTCCTTCACATCTGACAGTGACTGTCTCACCGCTGTAGATCTGAGGCCAGGATGGTTTGAGGATCACGGTGGGCTTATTGGGAACTGTTCACATAAAAACATCAAGTTAGAGATTGATGGAAGCATGAAGTCAATTTAAAGTTGTCCCGATTTGTATTGCTGCTTTTAAGAGTCAAAAGATTTACTGCATCCTGGTGACATTTGGACTTGAAAAAAATAAGATGTGTAAGAAGAGACTGCACAGACCTGCAGGATTTAACTCACTCACTGTTTATAAACCCATTTAGTATCTTAAATAAAACGATGCACAAACAGAGAGACAGGATGTGATTTCAAATTGTGCATGAAATATTAAATATCAGAGCAAAATTATACATATTTTATAAATGTGATAAAAAAGAAAGAAAAAGAAACATTTCTCACCTTCAGCATTAATGTAGAAGAGATTACCGAGCACTAAAGTAAAGATTAAACATCATTAGGATCAAACTGACAGAAAATTAAACTAATAATGAGGTATTTTTTAAAAAGTATTTTTTAAAGATTAATTTTCACATGAAACAGTTACTGCTCATGAAAATGTTTCTGTTCACATAAACTTTAATTTAGTAACAAGTTTGAAACAAAAAAAAACAGTTTTCAAATTATTAGTAGCATAAAAAACTATTAATATATGAACTTGTAAACAATGGCAATGAGTCAAGTGCAACAAGCAGCGATGTATCCAACATGATACTCCAGACTAAACTGAAGGAACCAGCCAACATTTGTCTGTAACTTTCATAAACATCACAAATATGCTTTGTTCAAACTCTCAGATAAACACTTCAAACCAGTGATACACTCTAATTCTCACACATGAGAAACACTTTCATTAATCAGTGCCATTCAAACAATGTCACAAATGTACTTACACAATAACCCCGTCATGCAGAGCAAAGAGTGCCTCATCCTCTTTGTTCCTCAGCTGATCTCAAACACTTTGACTTTACATCAATAATAAAAAGAGAAGCTGCATTTAATACAGATAAGACCAGAGTGTTTCTTCTGACTGTGGCCCCTCTGTGCTTCCTTTCCTTTTATAGAAACCTCAAACAGCTCCTGTAGCTTTGACCACAGCAGTTGTGTGACGTGTTCACATTTCCTGTCCACTGCAAACATGCAGGCTTGCTTCTTGTGTTTTCTTCTTACCTTCTGTTGTTTCAGTTCAGGTGACATATTTACCAGCTCATAATTATGTTTTATTCTCAGAGACCTTTATGTGATTTGTGCAGTGTGCTGTGGGTCATCATAAAGCTGAAATATTTCATCTTGAGTCATCTTATCAGCCAATGTTTCTGAACATCCACAGACATTTATTGTGTGATACATGAATGCTGTCTTCCCAAAATTTATTGTTTTCAGTTTCTGGCCACCACACTCACTCACTCTCCAGTATTATGTACAGACAATGATCTCAAATAATTTATTTGGTTTCATCTGTTCCCAATATCATATGAAATATCACTCATTTGAAGGTGCCAGTGTTCACATTTTGAACAGAAAATACTGACGGTTTGAAAGAGGAGTGAAAGAGGCCATCTATGCCCACTGTGAATGACCATCATTGACCAGAGGTGGTGGCTTATGGCGTCAGCTATGAGTCACCTACAATGCTGTTTTGAGATCCCTTCGTTGTGCCTCAACCCCTCCATGGTACTTTCCCTGGGTGACCTCAGTAGGTTACATGATAGGGTGAGGCAAGGTTTCACCTTTATCTCACCCAAAATCTCCAGTGGTAATCTCTGAATAAGTCAAAAAAAGTTCCCAGATGTTCCCAGAGTTCCCAGATGTCGGATGTTTTTTCATTGAATGCCCCCTCAGCTCGGATTTTCCACTCGGAAAGTCTGAGCAGACAAACATACAGTGAGTTAGTCCAAAAACGTTTAGGTCCATAATGACGCACATCTTTTTTCACACCTTGGCTCATGGGATGACACACATGATTAAAAATGGGTGTATAACCCCCTTAAGGGTTAAACACTCGGGACTCTCCACCATTTGCTTTTAGAAGTGAAGAAGCCTCTTAGATGAGAGGTGAGACGTCTTCAAGAAACGTAAAGAAGTTTAGTGACTTTCTTTCCAAACTCCTTAGACTACCATCACCTGGATGACTGAGAACCTACACAGATATTAAACAATAAGACAAATGGGTGGCACAGCGGTACAGGGGTTCATACTGTTACCTCACAGGAAGAAGTTTGTAGGTTTGAATCCACCAGCTGGGACTTTTGTGTGGAGATTGCATGTTCTCCCTCTACCTGTCTGGGTTCTCTCCAGCTACTCTGGCTACTCTGTTAGTCTCCTCTATATGAGCCTACAGTGTACCTCAGGTTTCACTCAACCAAAACACATGACAGTGGTCATTGTCAATATACAGTCTATAGTATCAATCACAGGTAAAGCACAAAAACACAGCCTCCATCCTTCATTCTCAAAAAGTTGATACTGATCATCTGGATGTAGAGTTTTCAGTGAGAAATACTTTTCTTCACTCATCCAAGTGACTCCTTCAGTCTCAGCTGACTGCAGGTTTCCCCAACATTATAAACAGTGCTGTTTATAAGGCTTCACATAAAAGTACTGACCCTCGTATGTGAAGTAGGTGGAATAAAGACACAATTCCAACAGCAAACACACTTGGTCGGTGCTGTTGCTGAGGTTGGGGTCATTTTGTAATCTTTTACAAACTACCTCCACTGCTCCAGTGACTGGAACACAATTGAGGAGAGATTTTACAAAACAATAGTTTCATCTGCCTCCATAATACCATCTCGTACCCTCTCAACAAAATCCAAGATGTTCTGGATGTGGGGTTTTAGACTGCCTATCAATGGATTGAGGAACAATGCCAGAAACTTTTAGATGTTATAGGTGACCAATTGGATCATACAGACAATTGGTCTTAAAGGCAAAAGCATTCATTAAAACATACAGACTTGGTGTGGCTTCCCCTGGGTATAGACTGTGGAATGAGGTCAGGTCAGTAGCTTTGTGCTATTGTAACTGCTTCAGACAATCGATCAGCCTCTTTGCGTAACCAAAACCTGGGTCTCGTTTCAGGGCCTCATAAGTATTTTGTCACTGAGTAGTGCCAAACTCCATCCTTCATTCAGTCAAAAACATTCTTACAAAGGTTATGATTAAGGTTTGTTGCAGTATCATCTATACACACTCACAAACATGTTGATATCCAAATGTTTTAGATTGTATAACAGTAGGTGTGTTTCTCCGTCCCTCCACTTTTCTGTGGGAAAGGTAAAATACATTAAGATTTAACTTCCTGTTTTCAGCTCATTTGCAGCTTATATGTTAAAATAAGTGCAGTGTTTCAGTACATATCAATATGTCATGAGGTTGTAATGATTCTAAAAAGGCCTAAAAACTTGGGGACTCTGTGATACTGCAGAGTCCAGCAGACAGTTTGGAGTCAAACACTGACGTCATCATCACAGGTGTAGGAACCATTTCTGTAACACCAGCCAAACAGACACATTAGTATCAGTAGGTATAGATGATTTACTGGCTCCTCTGCTGGTTACAAAGCAGTGATTATATTTTGGAGTTTTGTGTTATACTGTGAGGAACTGACCTGTTTGAAAGTTGTAGTAAAAAGAAAAACATATCTGTATATGATTTAGTGGACAGAGAGAGTGATGGATGACTTTATTTACTTCAGAGATAAATGAACATTTACAGCACGTCCATGCAGAGACTCTTAAAGACATGAGCCAGAGAAACAAGCTTTTCACGTTTCTCTTGATGCCCACATGCTTTATTTATCCTTTAATCCAGCATGTGTCATCACCACAATAAAGCTACTTTTAACCTGTTTTCACACATTGTCATACCTGCACATTTCCACTGTGCTGTGTTGAGATTAAAGAAGACAAACGTT